TTACTTGTCAATTTTCCCGAATCATTTGTCATGGATTTATTTATCGATTTTCTTGAAGTTTCCAAGCAACGTTTCTTTTATTTATACTGTGAATAATAGCTAGTTTAAAGAAGCAGCAGACTTCCCAAATTTACAGGTGTGATTTACATTGCAGCATTTTTATTTCCTAGCATGTTGTATTACTCTCCTAGCATGTTATACTACTTTTCCTAGTACGTTATACTATTCTTTCAACATGTTATACTGTTCTTTCTCTTTAGTGTACATTATACTGTTTTTTTTTATACTGCATGTTTTGTTACTTTGATACACACTATACCTTAGTTTAGGAAAACCTAGTGGTTATATAAGATTAACATTAAACCTGAAGGTGTTACGAAGAAGAACTTTGGAGCGAATGCTGTGGGCATCACGACGAGGAACAACTTCAAGGTGGATTATTAACATCAAAACACATTCACATCATCGAACACTTTCCTTAGTTTAAATAACAACTCGTAGGAGGTCGAGGTGGTTTGCTTAGCGCAGTGTAAACCCCCACATATCACTTTTAGGCTTTTGCACAATCCTGTTGTGCAATTATAAGTCATAACACTTTAGGATTCCGAAGTTACTGGATGGTACGATGTAAATCCTCCTTTCTTTTTAGGTTATTTGCACGATCAGATATCGTGCGAACATAAGTCCTAAATTCTAAATAAATTACAGGATTAAACTTTAAATAAGATTATTTCAAAAAAAACATAAAGCCAAACGATATGATAGTTGGGAGGTCACCGGGGTTCTCCCCAGATCTGTGATATCCCCTACTCTTCGCTCCTTTGGATTCCTTAAACTAACTGTTTCTATTTGAGTCATTCCCATTTGATTTTCTCATATCCAATCTTAGAAGCCTAAACTTTGAAATCTAGAAAGTAAAACCACTGATCTTAATCGAGAGTTTTTTTAAGTGACCCTGGTTATTTAAGATGTAATTAACTATAGGGGTTTGACTCTATAGTGAACTTGAAACCCAGGTAAAATGAACCCTATTTAATCTTTATATTAGGTAGGGGAACTTGTTAGCTTTATATAAAATATTTCGCAGACCAAACGGATGTCACAAATTCTTTAGTTTAGGTGATTGAGCCTACTACATGTGATATGTTTATTCTTCGGGATAAGTGTAGTACTTGTAGTATCGTGCTTAATCACCCAAACTATTCAAAATTTGAGATTCGTTTGTTCTCACATATTTTTAAATCAAAATGTTACTTACAAAAATCATATTAATATCAAAACTATTTTCATATTTTTCTATATTTTTCAAAATCAAATTAAAACGGCCGACAGTTACGTGTGAATTTCAGTGACGTGAGCCTTTGGTTTTTGATTGTTGAAACAATATCTTGGTGCACTTAATTTATATTTGAGGCTTTAAACAAATTTTTTAAGAGCAAAGCTTAATCAAGCTTTTATAATTTTATTAGCATAGAGCCTTGGCTCCTGACTTACCGATGAAGTCATTCATTATATCTTAACAAGAATGTGTCTGGAGTTTCAACAATCACGTTCCTGTTGGAATTGGATTTTTTTAGCTCACGATCTTGTATAGATCGCAAGAGACTTGTCAACAGAAGATCTTGGTCCGGCATTGAATTTTTTAGTTCATGATCATGTATGGATCTACTTTTTAGTGTTGGTGTTTAAATTTTTAGGCTGCTTGGGAAATGCAATATAGTAACCTTCATATGCACCTCGCAAGAAGGGAGGTCCGATGAGTTTGGGTAGGTTTTCTATATTTTGGCATTTTATTGCATCAACATGCCATTCATAATAAAGTGATGAGAACTTGATTGATGTCCGTGATTCAGGATAATTGTAGGCCTAATAAATTATTTATATGTTTAACTTTCATTTTAATTTATTTTGTTTCAGTATTTAAACTTGTTTTATATTTTATATGTTTCGGGACATTGGACATTCATGTTATTAACATTTTAGTTTTAAGTTTCTTTCATCTAATAATGATTTTAGGTTAAGTTGGTCATTGTAAACGTTTGGCTTATGTACATAAGAGCTAAGTTTCAAACTAATGAAAATTTGAAGCTTTTTATTTTTTTTCCTAGCAAAATTCACGCTGCTCTCATTTGATATGTATATGCATAGCGTATGCCTGCACTGTAGTTCATAAGTGCTTCCATCATTCATGCATTCAAGTTAAATGCAAGGAAATTTTTATTGCCAGTCATTTAATGTTTCGTCCATTCTCCTTTTCCTCCATTGATTTTTTTACTGGTTATCATGATTTCAATTTCATTCTTCTCATCCTCTATCATTTTGCCATTAGAATATGTTTAGTTATTTAAATTCAACTTATTGTGATGCTGATATTTATTTCCATATAATTAAGTTATTTTTTCCCTAAAAATGGATTGTTTTTTATTGATTTTCCCTATCGAGCATCGTTGGATTTCAATGAAAATTGGAGATAATATTCATGATATAGTGTTCCAATCCTCTGCATGATTTCATTTAGTCTGAATTGATTTGATATCTCAATAAACTATACAAGCTTAAGCTTCAATCATTATTTTCTGCAAGTCTTTTCCTCTGTATTCTGGCTAAAACTTAATATCTTGGAGCCCTTTTTTGAAGATTATTTTTTCTTTGTTCTTGTGTAAGCCCTTTATGAATTTTATTTTCGCATCTTCATTCAAAACTCACAAATTGTTACAGAAATCAGTCCTCACACAAATACTCCATAGTTAGCCATTTAAGCCAACATAGACCCAAATTCCAACAAATTGGCTAACCAAGTCCAAACCCATTCCCAAACCAGCTAATTATTTAATTGACCCTTTTTTTTATCAACCTCTGTGAACTTGCTATTAATTCCAAGTTTCACCCTCAAAGAAACATTCTAACTTCATGTTTTGTAACAACCAATGCATCATTCATCCCCATTTTTAATTGTAGTTGGCCGCTGACTCCCCTATAATGACCACTTTTTGCCCTACTTTTCCTCAATGGTCCACCTCCATCCTAATTAATTGCAGCCAAACATTAATTCAGTTTTTCTTCTTCTACTAACCTTTATGAGTTTTTTGTTCACATTTTCATTCAAAACTCACAATTTGGCTGACAAACCAGACCTTGCACAAATACTCCAAAGTTGCCTAATTTAGCCAACAAAGGCCCAAATTCCACCAAATTGGCTAACCAAGTCCAAACCCATTTCCAAACGAACCAATTATTTAATTGACTCCTTTATTTATCAACCTTTGCAACTTGCAATTAATTCCAAGTTTCACTCTCGAAAAAGCATTTTCACTTGATTTTTTTGTGCAAACACCGATACATCATTCATCCCCATTTTTCATTGTACATGGCCAACTGACTCCCCTATTTTTGCCATTTTTTTCTCTATTGTTCCTCTTTGGTCCTCGTCCTTATTAATCGTAGACAAAAATTAATTTAGTTTATTCTATTTTTACGGCCCTTTCCACTTTCCCAATGCATTGTTTATTCCCATTTACATCATTTTCAATTGATGCTGCACAATCGTAGGCTGAAAAGAATTGCTTATATGATTTTTTTTTTCAAGTTTATGTATTTAGTTGCAGGTAGTCATGTACGTAATGCTATGTGCATGCATGATGTTTGGCTCTCTATGGTTGGTAAGTGCTTCAGATCCTTCTGTGGTAGGATCAATTCCAATCTAACTGCAATGCATATCTATTTTATGAATGAATTAAACTAAAATTGTTCAGAACCCTGAATGGGTTCATGCAGGTCTTTGGATGTTGAGGCATATTATGAAATTTTTGTTAACTATACCTGTAATTAGCGTTTATAAAGACAAATCACCTTTAATGCTGGCGCTAAACTGCAGCGCCCGGGAGCGGGCACTGAATGCTCTCCAAAGTGGGGCGATTTGATCCCGCGGGACGGAGACTCACTAAGCTACGCGGGAACAGTGACAGGGTGTAATCACGATCTCACTTGATGATAGAAGCGGACCGCGAACCTTCGCGATTTAGGGAGCGCCACCCCTGTCTTCTATTGGGAAGGGTTTTTCAGGATTCTTCTTGTCTTCCCGCCCTCTTCCTTTATGTAAAAGTTTCCTTTGTCCTGCGGGAGCTTATAAATTGCTGTCCTTTGTGTGTGGGGAGTTAGTTCTGGTTATGTTGTCTTCAGATCCTCTGTGTGGAGTCTCTTCCTTATTGTTAGGGTTTTATCCAATTACAGGTGGTGTTTCGGTTGTATCTTGCTCCAAAGTGGTGTTGTATATTTCCAAACCTCTTATCTTCTTCTTCCCGATCCTTCCCCTACCACTTCACTTAGCTTCACCTACAATCGACTAAACACCCTACCAACTCACCTCATC